TCCAATAAATAATAGTAGATTAAAATAGTATATATACAATGCTTAAGATGGCGGAAAATCCTAGTTCCCTGGGGAGGGGTTATGGGGAATTATATGAGAGTGCCAGAAGAAGTCCCGTCACTGTCCTCAGCCAAAAGCCTGACGGAACATCTCTGCCTTACATGCCCTGCAGAAAGGTAGCAGCTCCCACAGGGCACAGATGTCTTCTGGCAGAGCATTCCACCAGGCAGGGGCCAGGGTTGAATAGGCCCTGGCCCAGGATAGCTGGACTTCTCTTGGGCCGGGGACCACCATCAAGTTCTTATTTCCTGAGTGTAATGCTCTTCCAGGGGCATACTGGGAGGCAGTCCTGATTTGGATGAAGGAATAGAGGGAATGCATATTAAATATGCAGATGAAACTAAATTGGGAGGGGTACCAAATACGGTAGAAGACTGAGTCCGGATACAGGATGGTCTTGACAGGCTGGAAAACTGGGCTAAAACAAAATGAATTTCAATGGGGATAAATGTAAAGTTCTGCATTTAGGTAGGGAAAATCAAATGCATAATTATAGGATATGGGAGACTTGTCTTGGCAGTATTATGTGCGAAAAGGATCTAGGGGTCTTAGTGGACCATACACTGAACATGAGTCAGTAGTGTGATGCGGTAGCTAAAAAGGCTAATGCAGTTTTGGCCTATATCAACAGAAGTATAGTGTCCAGATCACGCGAAGTGATGGTATCACTTTACTCTGCTCTGGTTAGACCTCACCTAGAGTATTGTGTTCAGTTTCGGGCACCACAATTTAAGAAGAATATAGAAAAGCTGGAACATGTTCAGAGGAGGGCAATGGTGAGGTGTGTGCAGACCAAGTCCTACGTGGAAAGGTTGAAGGAGCTGGGTATGTTCATCCTGGAGAGGAGATGACTGAGAGATGATATGATAACCATCTTAAAGTACTTGAAGGGCTGTCATATAGAGGGTGGGGCAGAGTTGTTTTCTGTTGCCCCAGAAGGTCACAGAGCAGTTCCTCAGTGGAACGGGCTTCCTTGGGAGGTGGTGAGCTCTCCTTCTTTGGAGGTTTTCAGACAGAGGCTAGATGGCCATATGACAGCAATGCTGATTCTGTGAACTTAGGCAGATCATGAGAGGGAGGGCAGGAAGGGTTGCCTCAGTGCTTAGTTTTTGTGGCCCTTTCTTACACACCCAGGGAAATGCTGATCACCACTTTGGGGTCAGGAAACAATTTGTCTCCAGGCCAGTTTGGCCAGGGATCCTGGAGGGTTTTTTTTGTCATCTTCTGGATATGAAACAGGGTCACTGGGTGTGTGTGTGGGGAGGTATTTGTGAGTTTCCTGCATTGTACAGGGGTTGGACTAGGTGACCATGGAGGTCCCTTCCGACTCTGATTCTTTCTGCTTTTTGCTCATGCTTTAACAAGACAACATTCTCTCCAGACAATTCATCAGTGTCTTCTGTAGTAAAAGGTAACAACATAGTAGAAGCAAGACATTTCCCCCCCTTAGAACTTCACGTTTTTGCCTGTTTTCCTGTAATGCATTATTAGATGCTTTTCTAAAGGACTACCTTAAAAAGCAGGTGCGTTTTCCATTGGCTGCTTTCTGTTTGTGGTTAAAGGCTAGTGAGAATCCTTAACCACAGGAGAACACTTTTATGGGAGCAAACATTTTGAAAAGTCTTGTAGAAGAACTTGCTTTGATCTCAGGAAAGAAATACAGAATGTAAACCTTTTTGTGGTAGGGAATGTGCTCCAGATCATCCTCAAATCTTTTTTAGTCCCCTTAGTCAAAGCACTGACTCAAGTACAATAGTAAAGTATGGAGAGAATGGCTCTCATGGGGTATTTGGCACCTCAAGTCAATTCCTTAGCGTTTAAAAGAAACAGAACATTATGGTAGATCTGAAATTTGACAATGTAGAAAGCCGTACTGTTATGCTCTCCTTTCTTTGAAAAGCAGACAGCTGCACTGTGCACCAGCTGCAGTTCTGAATGGCCTTTAATTGCAGTCCCCAAGAGGATGTCCAAAGAGTGTTGTGGAAATCTATCTAGAACAATACAGACCATTGGATGGAATTGAGTTGGAGAGGACACAGGAACTTGGCTTCAGGACACAGCAGAGAACCTCACTGCCCAATGGTCCCTTTTGAGTATCTTATATAATTATCTTGGTACATTCTGTGTAACCACACACACACATCCCATCTCTATTGTGGTGCATAATTTGGCTTTCTGAAAATTTCATAGTATGGGAGCATTCTCGGGATGCAGAATATAAAAAAAAATTTCCCTGGAGACTAGCAACTCCAAGAAACATCTCTAAGTTGACTGTGATGTTTCTACATTGTATTAATGGGAGGGAATGAATCATTTTTATGTGACTCTATCCTTTCCTGGTAAGATCTAGTGGTGCTGCTTTGCTTTTGTCTTATAGTGTCATAGAACTGGAACAGTTTTAACATTCATGCTTTGTTCACTCAATATGTTCAGGCTATCCACTCAAGAACAAAAATACTGAGCTGTCTGTTGCCTCTGCATCTAAGAAATCATTAATGGTCTCAGAACTTGCTCAGCAGCATTGAAGTGTAATTAGCATTGAAACAAATCCCTTTACTCAATGCACACTACATTCAAAGGTGGAGCCAAGTTCTACTCCTGGGATAATTAATTCCTCTATAAACTACTTTGGGCCTTTCTCTCAGTTGTTTTCCTAAGCATATCTGTTGGACAAATTTTGTTCCTGAGAATATATGCAGATAACCAGTGAACATGTATCCTTATTTCCTTAGATTATGGAAAATAATCCCTCTAGTCTCAATTAAAAATACAGTAGTATGATATCAAGCTCACTCTTAGCCTTTTTTCGGAGAGAAAGTAGTAGCATTCTCCCTATATTTAAATGGCTTTTCTGCATGGTCAGCTTACTCCTGATTTTCTTCAGAGTCAATCCATAAGCATTGAAATCTGTTTGGCCATGGTTCTTCTGCATGTCTACCCTCCCTCTGCCATGGTTCTTCTGCGTGTCTACCATCCCTCAGCATTTTCAGTTGTGGAGATGTTTATTTTTATCTGCACATGCCTTAAATTATCAGTATTTTTGAGGGAGGGTGCTGTTGTAATTGGTGGCATCACAGCACCCCCTCCCCCATTTTTCCTGTGTATACTTAGATCGATATCATGGCTGCATTGTTTTCAAAATAGCACTAAAATACTGCTGTATCCATACACTGCTGTAATGATAGGTCAAACAGGTTCTCTGAATTCCCAGCTTTCTCTTTAAAAAAAAAAGTATCTGCAAAGGAAGGAGCTTTAAAGCTATTTCCCCTGTTCATGACGTCTTCCAGTGCCTGCTGACAGATAATATTATTGGGCACTGGAGCACTTACATTCACATATGAGGCATGGGGTTTGATATTGTTTATTGTGCCATTGATTGCTTTATTACTTTTACTGTTTTGTTTTACTATACGTTGTAAGCCACCCTGAGCCCACCTGTGGGATAGGGCGGGGTATAAATTGAATAAATAAACAGTGTTTTTTAAAGAGAAAGCTGGGAATTCAGAGAACATGTTTGACCTATCATTACAGCGGAGTATCATTCGATATTTTAGTGCCATTTAAAAATAAAAATAAAACAACTCATCTTCAGGATTGGGGAAGGAGTGGTAGTGGTTCAACAATGGGTGCGTGGGAGTGGCCAGGACAAAGAAAACCAACAGAAACATTACACAAGGAAAAAAGCAACTCAAAATCAGCTACCAGAAAAGGATCTGGGTAAAAGTGATCTGAAAAGAAATGGACTTTGTGTGTGTGTGTGGAATGAAAACCAAAGGCACAAAAATGTGTGGGGAAATAAGGATAAACTGAAGCAGTGTGGGGTTAGAACTGATGGAGGAAAAAACCATGTGGAAAAGCCCCAAGAGTGCTCTCCATCATTGGAGAGAGGGAGTGTATAGTCTTCAAATAATGAAAATGAAACAGAAGATTCAAAACTGGAGGATGGGGGGAAACCTTGCTGCTTTAAATACAAGTGCTGTTGTACTGACTTAGCCTCAAAGCATTAGTAAAGCTGGAAGGAAAAGTGGTATGAATTGTCATTCATCATGGTCATATGCTGTATCCAGTGTGGGTCCATAATACTTCTGAAGGGGTGTGACACTGTACAAACTACTTGGTTTATTGACAACTATGTTGGATGCATAAAGGGGATTGGGTAGGTGGTGTTTTTACTGCTGCATACTCTTTTAGTGGCTTTCTGGAATTCATCTAGCTAAACGGATTCTATATTATCACACTATGATTTAGGTGTCTTATACATAGCTGTTCCCTTCCATTATTCATGGGGGAGGGGGGAATCTACAAAACACTAGAATTATTAGAATTATAGCATTAGAGTCTCACTAGTTCACCTCAATAATAAACAGAAAGCCAGTGTTGGATGTGAACAGGGAAGACCTGGATTTGAATCTGTGCTTGGGCTATGAATTGCACTGGGTTATTTCTCAGTCTAACTTTCCTTACTGGTTTTGGATAGGGGTGTGTGTGTGAGAGAGAGAGAACTCTATTCTGAGCTTCTTGGAGAAGGGTGGAATATATGAGGAATGAATGGCTGGCTATTTCGAGTCTACTGTGGAACTGAGTATCAAAAACTAACAGGTCTTGATTATACCTTTAGCCTCCAAGCCTCCAACTCATAATTTAAGAGTATTATTATTTGTTAGTAATTCTATGGTTCTTAGTATCTCCCTGATTGAGAAACCAACTGTGTGATACTGCAAAGCAGCAGGCACATATGGGGTAATACAATGGCTCTTTTGCCTGATGTGATTGAGCTAAAAATAGAACAGCGTTACATGCTAGCAGAAGTTCAGTTGAATCACTTCTGTATTTGTGTTCTAGAGGGCACTGGCAGCAGCTGATCTTACTTTAGTCTTATTGCAGAATAGCTGCCTTTCAGTCACATCTGATAAAAAACCCAGCACCTTATTGTTGTGCAGGGTCCTGGAGCATCCAAGTGGAGAGAGGAGGCAGAATAGTGGTACTGAGAAGCCTGCTGTGGCCTGGACTCACATTCTACCACGTTCCCAATACTAAACAACATGGCTACATCTACTTCGGCACTGGAGAAAAGAACATAGATCTGCCTTTCATGCTGTGAAGATTCCATTCCGTTGCAAATTGAGGAAGAAAAATTATGTACTTTGTTCCTGAAAATTAGGAAGGAAAACTTTGTATTCTAAAATGTTTTGTTTTAATAAATAAATGCAAAATAATTATATTAAGCAGACTCTAGGATTCATTACTTTTCCCAAGTTCTGTTTGCAGGGTGAAGAGCTTCAATAGCTTGATAACTGCTTCCTCCTATTTCCTTCAACTCTGCCCATTTAAAACTTTCCTTGTGCTCTGGCTCATATTGTCCAGCAGCTAGAGCACAGCAAAATGTTCTCAGTCAATCCATGAAAAAATCCAAATCTTACAAGTCAATGAAGTACACAAATCAATTTAATTATCAGTCTGTTCTGGCACAGGAATTTGGCTATTATGTTGTATTCAAGAGCAGGGGGACTTGCTGAAGGATAATGTATGACTGATGAAGCTGTACAATGTGTATGTGATTGCTGCAAACATTCCTCCCGTGAGCATGTACTGGTGTATTTTTATCCATATTTCAGTACCAGCTTTCCAGTGGCACTACAGAAACTGCAGAACCAGTCACAAATTTAAAAGCTTATGAAAGATGAACTATTTCAGCTGAATTGTGACTTATAAATTATTTCTTAATCTGAATGTCAGGACAATATAAAGGTAGAGACATCACACTACACTAGAGTTCATCACAAGGATTTAAATGAAGAAAACATATCCTAAAGCAACAGCCATCAGACCTTCTTGCAACAGGGAAGCTACACAAGCTAGTCCCTATGCAGAAAACACTAATGAAAATACCTGAAATGGACCTGAGGAAAAGCAGCATGGACAGTTACGTTTCAGTTAAAACAAATGCCACTTCACCTTAGTGATTAAAACGAGGAGGGTTGCGTCCATAGTAAATGTTATCTTTGAGTATGGGGTGTGATATAGGCATGGGGACTTTGCACCACTTGTGGCCTTTGTTCCAGATGGGCTTTACGGAGACGTCAGAGAACCGGGTAAGATACCTACAAAGGAGAAACAAAAGGAGGTCATGAATTAAATCAGCAATTCAGAAAATATTTCAGGACACAACAGGTAGGCCCAGATGCCACCCAGGGGCTCTGTTTATATAGGGCAGGGGTCCCCAACCTTTTTGAGCCTGGGCACCTTTGAAATTCTGACACATCGTGGACACAGGCACAAAATGGTTGTGGCAGGAGGCAGAGCCATACCCCCCAGAGGGAGTCCAAGTGCAGGGGAGAAGAGGAGTAATTTTAAAAATGCCCTGGAAAAGAGGAGGGAAAATAAAACCAACACTGTTATGGCAGCTGGTGCTGAAGTAATGTTATTTTAGTCTGCACAGCCAATCAGATTTCCAGTGGCCAATAAGAAGCCATGCTAGGCATGAGCCCCACTTGGAGGTTGCCAGGCAAGGTGCTGGTGGCTGCTATGGTGCTCATGGGTACAACATTGGGAACCCCTGGCAGAGGGATCCATGGCCTCTAAGGCTTAGTGTCACAGCTTTTGATTCTAGGAGAGTCTGGCAAAAAGGAACCTGAGCTATTTGGGCAGCCCCTTTCCCATTCTAACAGATGTGCTATTCACTGGAAGCTGTATGTGTCCAGTGCTGCTTTACCAATGAACAGAACAAGGATTAGTGCAGTCTGTACCCTCAAATAGGTAGCTCCATTTCTGTGGCAGGACAAACACTGGACTTGTTCCCTTCCCACATTCCTTCTGGGAGCTGTTCTACATGGAAGCCAAATCAAGCCCTGTCACTGTCATCTTTATTTCATTATTTTAACAAGCTAAACACAGACTAAGCCACTGATAAGTTCTGATTGTCACCAGTTACATCTGGTTGTCAGGTTATTTCTACTGCCTTGAAGTGCAGCTGCAAATGTATTCTGCTTGTTTAATCTTTTTGGGAAGACAAGACACCAACTGCTACAATGAGCCTAAGGAGCAGGCGCGAGACAACTACACAAACACCAGATTTATCCGAGAGTCTCCAAAGGCAGCAAGTCTGTTTTTCTAAGAAACGAGGTTAGATTTTCTTTTTGCTTGGGAATAAGAATCTGGCAGGGGTATTTATTTTTGCATATGCCTATTAAGAGACTATAGCAATATTCTTGTAGAATTCTGTTTGAATTTTCTGGTGCTGGAAACCAGAAACCTCAAAACAAGGAGGTGCTGGCAGTGGGACTGCATGAGCAATGATCCAACATTTTTACATTCACTAATGGAGCTGCCCAAGAGCAGACAGCACGTCCACAGATGCATTCATCTGGGTCCTTCAAATTCAACTGACCATCTCAGAAAGTACATTGAAAATAGATTAGGTTAAACCTGTGCATTTCCCCCCCAAGTCACAAAATATGAGGTTGTTTGGGGCAAGCTTTGGCCTCGTTTTTGTATGCAGTAAGCCTTTACCCAAAGGCAACAGAAGATGGTGCAGTATGGCCAAACGGCATGCATGTTTTACGACACCGGTTCCCAACCTTTTTAGTACGGTGACCCACAAGTTCAAATTTAGTTGGTACGGTGCTCTAAAAAAAAACTATGACCTCGGCACCCATCTAGTTCAGCATTCCCATTTTCTATAGAGGCCAAGCAAATGTTTTTGAGAAACCAAAAAAACAGTGGACAAGGTACAGCTTGTCCACAATATGGACCCCAAGCAACTGGCATTCCAACATAAACAGCCTTTGCATATGGAAGCTACATTCCAGCCTTTGACCACTCTCTTCATCACCTTTACTCCCTCTAATCTCACTTAAGAGACAACTTTATATAAACAGTATTATTTTTATAATTTGACAATCATCTAACCTAGATAAAACCTTTTACAAACAAGGTTACATTTTAATTCTTTTCTAAGGAGGCTGAGAAGCATGAAGATATTGTTTCTAGGGTTAGATCTTCGTTTCTAAAATGCAGCTCAAAGCCTTGCCTCAAATTACACATGAAAGTTGATTCTTCTTGGAGCCATTTCACACATCATGATTTTCCTAAAGAGATATTATTTTACACAGGAAAATGTGTGCGCCTATCCTCTATAGTCAACGGTTGTGTTCTGCCTACTGAGACAGCACAATAAGTTGCATTCATCACACATGACAACGTAGGTTGTTCTTTTCTCTACAAAGTAGAAAGATCAAAGCAGGTAAATCATATAAAAATGGCCCAGTTTTCAACCTTAATACAATGCTTAGTGAGGTACAAGACGTGAAAGCTCCCCTAGTTTCCATCTAAACTTTGAGGACAGACCTCTTACCACTGTATAAGAACCACCATGCATAAGAGGGCAGATGCTACTCAACAGCTGTTTGCCCAAATCTGCTTAACTTTGAGTACCTTTAACCACTTTCATAGTGATTGAAGGGCTGCCCTGAGTGCCTGCACTGTGATAAGAGGAAAGATTTAACCCACACATTACTGACTGTCTCAACAGAGACACTGATGTCTCCATTACGCAACAAAGTCTATCCATAAACCATGTCACATGTGGGGAGAAGGAGTTATAACAAAGTTCCCCCTCTTCCAAGTGGGGAGTTCACAAGGCTCCACCTGAGGTCAAGTCCCCGAGAGTGGGGCCGCCCTCTGTTATCTCTTCCTCTGCCAAGGAGGCAAAGCCGGAGTCTGAGGTGGCACACTGAGGAGGCACCAGGTTAAGGAGGTGTGCGAGGATGGCAGATGACAGTGAAGGGTTGGCAGCGAAGGGCTAGGTGTAATACATCTCTCTTAGGAGGCAGAGGGCAATGAGGTGCTGCAGCAGACTGAGGTCAGGCTGCTGAAGGGGCAGCACCAAGGGCCCGTGGATGCACATGCCTCTTTCTCTCCTCCTCTGGTTTTTTCCACATCCCTCTCTCCAGCTTTCCCCCCCTTCTTCCAGCTCCACCATACATTTAGTTGCTGGATAGCGTCTCCCCTCATTATTGCTGCAAAGGGAGGGGGAGGCAAGAATGTGAGAAATTGGCAAGGAAAAAGAGAGAGCAATAGAAAAGGCAGGGGTGGGCATTGGGGAGGGCTGGCCTGCAACCCACTTTCGGAGGCTCTGCAACCTACTTTTGGGTTCCGACCTACAGGCTTGGAAACACTGTTTTAGGATAACCTAACTTGTTTTCAAGTCTAAGTTTTATTTCACATGCCAGTTTACTAGCACTGTTGTTCATGGTTTGATAAACCAGGATCACAGTTGGGTTTTAAATCACTCAGATAGCCAGGGAAGTGTACAGAGATTTTCGTGCAACAGAGGTGCTGGTGCCTGAACTGAAGGTGCATATAACAAGTTAAAGACAGTGTTTTTTTAAAAAATCAGATAACTTTATATAAACGGTATTTTTATAATTTGACAGTCATCTAACCTAGATAAAACCTTTTACAAACAAGGTTACATTTTAATTCTTTTCTAAGGAGGCTGAGAAGCATGATGTTTTCTACAAAAAGGTATGAATAGGGAAGAGAACTACTACTATACCACACATTGGGGGGGGGGGAGGAGCTTTCCCAGGCAAATGGGATCACATGTTAGGGGGAGCTCTAACTGCCCAATCACAACGATTCTCTCATAGCTTTCTGACCATGGGCAAAGAAGATAAAAAACAGGCCTGACTCTATTTCAGGGCAAGATTTTTTGGAGTACCGGTGTGCCTCTGTCTCCTCTGGTCTTTCTATGCCTTGGATTACCTCTCCTGCCTGTGCCCGGGAAAACTCTCCTCTTTTGTTTTGTTTTAAAATATTAAATTATTACTATTACTATTTCACATTTTCCTGTGTTTTTATTTCTGCCTGGTGGTTTGTGGGGGGAGGGAAAGCCTTTGTTTTCTTTCTGATTCTTAAAAAAATACTTTTGATTTTGTTTTATGCTGTTTTGGGTTTAAAGATGTGTGCTCTTTTGTTGTTTTACTGTTTTTCCACTTTAATTTTAAAGGGGTAATTCTTTTCCTTTTTGAGGGGATCCCAGGTTGCTGCTGTTTTAAAACACTTTTCTTTTGCCATGTTTCTGGTATGTTCAATAGTTGTTTTAAGGTATTTCTGTGCTGTGTTTTTGGGGGAATGACTTAGTAGAGTTTTGAGGTGTTCCTGTTGATTTTGAAAAAAATCATTATTTTGAAGGAGATTCTTGGCTAAGTTTTAATAAGTATTAACTGTAGGTGAATAGGTAAATAAATTTCAGCTTAAGGTTCAGTAAGCATTCTTCAAACAAAAAATTAGGCTTTAGTTAGGCTTCCAGAACAATAAGAAGCCAAATGTTCTTTTTAAATAGAAGCATAAATTTACTTAAAAAAATTATTAAGCTGATCTTACCAGAGCTTCAAAACAATTGAAGCCAGGTGGTTTCAAAAAATAAAGATTAGCCATTTTTTAAGGCTGGAAAGTCGTAACCTGTTCTAGTTGAAGCAAGCCTAGGTGTTTTTTTTTAAAGGCTTTTTATTGGATTCTCTGGATTGTTTCAGAATTTTTAATTTTAACTGCTTTTCACTTTAATTTTTTTTGGGGGTGTGTGTGTGTGGAGCCCAGGTTGAAAAAAAGGCAATTGCAGGTTAGGGCTGAGGATGAAAAAGTCAACAGCCGCAGGTCCAAGAGCAGGCCAGCCAGTACTCAGACTCACACAGCGGAGCAGCTAGCTTACTTTGGTGAAGTAGTTCAGGGGAACAGAATGAGCGACAGGAGCACAGTGCAGCAGGGCCCTGGGGGAAAGGCGAAGCAGAAGAGTTGTAGGGTAGAAGGGAGGCAATGTTATTCTATAAAGCAAGCAGACAGGGCAAGAAGAGAAAACAGGAAAGGTTTTTGTTTGTAGTTTTGCAGGAAAATCCAAGCTCTGGAACAAAACCACACAGCGATCTGTACCAATACTGCCTGGCTTAACACAGATTTGTAATGACCTTTGAAGTAACTCAGCAGTGCTGCGTGCGTACCCTTCTTGTGAGCAATACCAGTCACATGACCCCAGTGTCTCCTTTTCATCCCACAGCTTGGTCATCCCTTCTTTGCGGCAACATGTGCAAGTTTAGATGTTAAG